TTGTAGCTGTCCTCAACATCTGCTATGTTGCCTTCTGGTAGTACAATCCTCTCAGTTCTGACTACCTTCCCTCTCCTTGTTACCATTCGACCACACTTATCCAGTCCAAATGACATTCCGATGTCCTGGCTCTAGATCCTAGTGGTATGGATCAGTGAGTCGATGTCTCGTTCACTCCTGGCATACAGCTTGATGTCATCCATGTAGAGGAGGTGGCTGATGGTCGCTCCATTCTGTAGTCGGTATCCTTAATCACTCTTGGTGATGATCTGGCTGAGGGGGTTCAGCCCTATGCAGAACAGCAGAGGAGACAGAGCATCTCCTTGGTAGATACTGCCCTTGATGTTGACTTTTGCAATTGGTTTGAAGTTGGCCTCTAGGGTTGTTTTCCACATTCCCATTGAGTTCTTGATGAAGGCTCTTAGAATCCTGTCGATGTTGTACAGTTCCAAGCATTCCAGGATCTATGTGTGAGGCACTGAGTCATAGGCTTTCTTGTAGTCAATCCAGGCAGTGCACAGGTTGGTATGCCTGGTCTTACAGTCTCGAGTGACTACTTTATCAACCAGTAGCTGGTGCTTTGCTCCTCTGGTGTTACTACCAATTCCTTTCTGGGTGCTGCTCACGTATTGAACCATGTGCCTGCTCATCTTAGCTGCTATGATGCTTGACAGGACTTCCATGTTGTGCAGAGGCAGGTTATTGGGTGGTAGTTGGATGGTACTGCTCCTTTCTGCAATTCCGATAGCTGGCCAACTTGTCTCCTTGCTGCCTTGATCTTGGTCTCTAACCTCCTTTTCCATGGAGGATACTGGTCTTTGTTGAACTTACAGCCAAGCATCTCAAGGATGACAGTTGCTGTGGTGTATATGAGCTTGTTTGTCTCGATGATGGTCATAGTAGGGATTGTTCTTAGTGCTGCATTCACATCCTCTAGTAGACTTTCAGAAGGCACTTCACTTAGTCTTGGTAACCGGCCACGGAAGTTCCAGGTGTCCATCTTGCTCATTATCTTAAATCTCAGGTCAGCTGCTCTTAAATCAAGCTCATCTGGGCCTGTTATTGGGGCATGGTACCCCATCTCGGGGTGATGATGTTATCTCCCCCCTGACCTGGTGTCCTGGGTCCCCCTTGCTGTAGCATTCGTGTTGTACTTCATCAATCTCTAGTTGTGATAGCAGGTGCTTCTTGCAGATGTTAGAGCACTGAGCTACTAGTCATTTCAATGTTAGTCTAGATGTTGGGTTACGAAGTAGCCATAGGTCCCACATCCTCCGTATATAACCCCTCTAGCTGGGGTTACTTGTATAGTAGCATTCCAATAGTTCCCTCTTCTCATCTCTTGTCCATGAATGTCTTGTTCCATTAGCCCACTTCTCATCAGGTTGCCCTGGTTCCTCAATCTTGTTGACCCGGGTGCTGTCCGAGCCAGTGTGACTCTTATTTTTCCAACTCTCATTACCCATAAGAGATGAGAACAGGGAACTACTGGAAGGGCCTTGCCCAAAGACCCAGGCTGGATACTGACTGCGCCCTGAATCATTTGTTTTATTTTTCAATTCCATGGCATTTTTGTGCACTCAAAGCAGTTTCATAGCATAACAAGTAAACTTATTTACCACAACCTTAAGTTCTACTAACATCAGTAAATTAAAATGCAATAAAGCATTTTTTAATACTTGACAGTATTGAAGTAATTCGACTGATGCCATAAAAGTATTGAAGTTCGATACCCAGCACTAGCACTATGCTGTTAGGCTTGTGTGTGCAACATGACCTGCATTACTTAAAAGTTCCTGTCATCTGGCTGAATTTTTATTGCAGCCTTTACGCGAGAGAACAGAGAAATCAGAGCAGAACTAACAGCAACAAATCTAAACACTCAGGCTGACCACACAGAACTGCCACTCTGTGTGCGTGCTTACATGTAATACAAAATAGTGCACTTAAATTGATTGCTTACTATAAAAGTATATGCTTATAGACTGCATGAGTGCATCTGTGCAAATACCCATGCATCAGTGAATGTGTGCGTGTGGAGTCGGGCCTTGCGAGTATGTTTTGATCGTTCTCAACTGCTGTGCTCTAGATCTGCACACTGGAGGGATATTCCACCAGTGAATAGGGGCAGTGGTGCATGGGCTGTGTGACACAGTTTCCAGTATTGCACAGAAACATGTTAGCACGCATGTGCACACACCACTCAGGTCCTTCAATGATTCACGTTTTATACAACCCATGCATTTTTCTTTTAGTTGTGGGTCAAACCTCTTAGTTCAGTAGTAAAGTGAGTAGCAAACATATGTGTAGACTGACTCACAATCCCTATCATGCAATATACAGTGGAGAAATGTTGGCAATGTGGTGCTCAGGGTTCCCACTCTTTTCAATAAATTATTTTCCAGGACTTTTTCGGCTGTGATGTCAAACAGGGATCACGTCCTAGACTAACAGGTTCCTCTGTGTGGAAGCCTCTTTTAATCATATGTATTAATCTATGATGATACTTTATCTGTATAACTAGTCCTTTGGTGCTTTGAGTTTTACTTTCTGCAGTTTTTCTCATTTCTCTCTCTACAGTCTCTTTTACATTACATGTTACGGTGAAAAAATAAACACCTGACTGTAGAGGCAAGCATAGCTAAAATAAATAAATAAATAAAATCTGACTTTAGGCTAACAACAAAAAGCAATAATAAACACAGCAACATTCAAGACGTTTTTCCTATCATTTCTAAATGGATTTGTGTAGGTTTATTGGTAATGCACATTGCAAGTAGTGGAGCAATAAATCTTAAACATGTTTAACCTCATTACAAGCCAATAGTTATTAATATTTGTACTTCAACTATCAAGCTACTTACACTTCTTGGCTGTCTGGTTACGTTCCATTGATTCTGTTT